TCCCCCCTGGGCCTCTGTCTCCTCCACTCCTCTCTCCTCCCTCTCTCCTCCGGTTCTTCCTTTTCTTCACTACTAATACATCTCACCATTCCTCTCTCCATCTCCTTTTTCCCTCCCATCCCTCTTTCTCTTCTCCCCTCTTTCCTCTCTATACCTTCTCTCTTTTGTTAAATAAAAAACTTTTTGTATATAAAGTCAAATAAAGGTTTAGTTTTTATTGTGATAAGATTTACTGCGCTAAGCACAGAATGCAGGTAGATGAGCTGAGTGTATGTACTATATTCCATCAATAAATATGATAAACTGCGCAGAGCGCAAAATGCATTTTCATGTTAATCACTGCGCAGAGCGCAGAATGCATTTTCATGTTAATCACTGCGCAGAGCGCAGAATGCATTTTCATGTTAATCACTGCGCAGAGCGCAGAATGCATTTTCATATTAATCACTGCGTAGAGCGCAGAATGCATTTTGTAACGATGCACCCCCCGATGCACCGTTCCCGGCATCACACCCGCCGGATGCCGCCCGACCGAACACCCGTCGGGCGAGACGCAGGCGCATAGCGCCTCATAAGATTCCGATACACGACCGCGCCGAACCAAGCGGCCGGGGCCACGAGCGGCCCTGGAGACCGCCGAACGGGCCCGAGCGCGCGTCACGGCCGCGAGCCAAACGCGCCGATCAGCTGGGGCCGCGAACGGCCCCGGAGATCGACGACCAGGCCCGAGCGCGCGACGCGACGACAAGCCGTGCGCAAGCGGCGCGCGCCGCTACGCACGCGCAACCCCGAGCGGGCTAATTACCCGTGACAATTAAGCCCCTATAAAAAGGGAAAACCGAGCGAGGAAAAACACCTTTGGAGACGAGCTTCCGAGCAACAGCTGCTCATCCGCAAGTCTCGATACCCGAATCCTGTCGCACGCTACGCAGTGGGAAACCAGCGGTGGAGAGTACTCCGCCACGGTCGAGCTTTCTCGACACTGCGCACGCGTGCTTACCTGCACACCGTACCCGGATACACACGGGGTGGAGCGCTCTCCGCCTCGACCGAGAATTCTCGGACCCGGGTACATTACATGACCGCATATCGGACACCGGCTCACAGGGACCAGGAAGTGGAGTGTACTCCGCTTCCGCCGAGTTTTCTCGGCACCTGCCGTAGCCAACCGATTCCAGACCAGGCACCGCGCCGCCCGCGACCGATTTCTGCGCCGCGAACACCCAAGCCTCCGCTTCACGAGGCCGACCGGGAACCCGCGCACCGCGTTACCGCGAACCGTCATCTTCATTAATTTCATCTCACGTTCATTACATCTTGCATCGCACTGTACATAATATCATCTCATCCCGCGCCGCCACATCCGTCCGTCCCTCCGTCCGCGATTGCGTTCTTAGCATAAGTTTATATAGTGTATCTACGTCTTTTGTTCAAATATAGTTTTGTTATTATTCTTTTACCGTAATTCTTGTGTCGAGTGCTTTCACCTAATCCCTCGAACCCTGCCACCGGCGAGCACAGTCCGCGGAGAAATCGATTAGGCAATCGTTTCAATTTTTATGTTAATCACTGCGCAGAGCGCAGAATGCATTTTCATGTTAATCACTGCGCAGAGGGCAGAATGCATTTTCATGTTAATCACTGCGCAGAGCGCAGAATGCATTTTCATGTTAATCACTGCGCAGAGCGCAGAATGCATTTTCATGTTAATCACTGCGAAGAGCGCAGAATGCATTTTCGTGTAAATTACTGAGCCCAACGCAAAATTAGTTTCATCATTTTTTAATCCAAATTTCTTTTTTATTTTTTCAATGCTTGTCTTCCGTATACATTTATATGTCCGTTTTTCTTTTGCTGTTATTTTTTGCCTTTTTGCTTCAATTATATATTCGGGATCACGAATTGGCAAATTTCTTTCCTGTCTTGGATCAAGTAATTCCGGTAGTATGCAGTTTTTATAAAATTGTACCAGTTTATGAGCCATATTTTCCTTCCAGAAGTCATCATCGCGTAGAATCTTTTCCATTTTTAATCCTAATGGTGTCCATAGGGCGAAGATGCAGTATTGTCGCTGCGTAATGTATAATTGCCCTTGTATTTGATAATAATAATGATTGCGTTTCATTTTCTCATTTGTTTCCATCCTTATATAATGATTGCAGATTCGAGACATTTGTTTTAATTGCATCTTCTGGTGTTAAGTGTCGTGCTGCAAAAGGACACTTTATCTCCACAATTTCGTCATCTTCTATTAATCCATCTGGCGAAGTGCCTAAAAATGGTATTTCTGAATCTATAAATAATCCGTAGTGTTTATGTAATATATCCGGGCTCCCAACGGGAGAGTACGTTACTGTGCGACACAGCGTCACGGGAACGTGTGCTCCGAGACTTATATCCGTATTCATAGTCGTTCCTCAATTCTCAAGGGTAGTTTGTCTTTGTCTCGCGTATGGTAAAACGTAGTAGCGAGACAAAGACAGACTAACCTTGAGAATTGAGGAACGACTATGAATACGGATATTAGTTTACTCACGGAAGGCGAGCGTGACACACGTGTATTTAATATAGAATACATTTACGAATTACCGCTCTACTCATTAC